AGAATCTTTTAGTAATGTATGCGTTTTCACTACCTAGTAAGTAGATTTTTATGCCATTTCCTTTTTCCCTTTTTTTTTTTTTTTTTTTTTTTTTTTTTTTTTTTTTTTTTTTTTTTTTTTTTTTTTTTTTTTTAGTTTTTGCTCAAAATAAATATAAAAGTTTAAAAAAATTAAGAAAATTTTAAAAATTTGTCTGGGGATTATGGTAATAATATTTTGTCTAATTGAAAGAGGACACAGCATGTTAAAACTATAGGCATTTCTCACATACCACAGCTGAAGAAAGTATTCTGCTTCTGTGTGCTTTTACAGCATCGTAATACTAAATAGATTGTGCTTGAAAGAATCAATAGAAGATTTTAATTAAGCAGAATTACAGATCTCTCAATTAACTTCGTGAGCAAAAAGTCAAGTTTTTATAAATCTTAAAAATCACAATTTATAAATACTGAATTGTCTTTAGAAATCAAATAGAGGATAAACTAGGACACTGATCTCTCTTAACTCCAACTTTTCATTCTATTAAGAGGAGTCACTTTTTTATTTATAAGCAGTTGTAGAGTATTCAGCTGAAACTGGCATACTGCTATACCCATGAACACTCAGTATCCCACCTGAAATAATGTGAAAATTCATTTAAAGTGGCTAATCCAAATAAAGTGAATAAGATTCCTGGGTGTGAGAGCTGCTGTATGTGTAAATCAAATAATACAAGGTTTTTGCTTATGGAACTGAAGGTTTAAGATTCATTTAAAAAGCAGCGAATGCTATTTTTGCTGATGTTAGTATTTGATTTCTCTAGCTCTAGCAAGCAGCAAGCTAATAAGACTTACTTGTCCAAGTATTCAGCAGACTAACTGCTACTGTTAAAAAAGATATAATTCAAGTCTTTAAAAAAGTGAGTAAAGTTTAAGTCTTGTGACCTTTTGGGAGAAGCTGTCTTCAGTCCTCCAGCACTAAATGTCCATAATGTGTCTAGTGTACACTTTTCTCCAGAGCATGGTTTTTTTAATAGGACTTCTCTTATTGGAGTGCTATGTAGATGCCAATAGATTATCTTAAACTTGTCCAAAATGGCCAAGAGCTCAGGTGCCTATTTATTTAACTAAAATATTTTAGCTTTTCAACATTATCTCCTCACATTTCTTCCCTGGAAGAGGATTGTATATGTAGTATATAAGCACTTGGTTGGAGGCAAGTTATGATGTAGACTTTCTTTGCCATTTGAGGATAGTTTTATTGCCTTTGCATTGCTTAGCTAGGTTAGCTGTTGAAGTTTTTCCTGTGCTCTTTTTATCCCCTAATACACCTTTTGTTTGCGTACAATGCTCCACTTTTATCTCTGCATAATATGCTAAGTAAGTTTTTCCCTTTTTGGTCTTAATTAATTTCAGACATTTGCCCTTTTTTCCCCCCTCTGACTTGCATATTACATAGATATACATGACATTATCATTAATATTATTCTAGCAGACTACTGCTGGTATTCTCTAAACTAGTCTTAACTTATTAAGAGGATAGTACTAGTAGAAAATTGCTAACTTCATGTTGTTTTGGTATTGTGAAGACACCATACAGTGATAAAACGTATGGTATATGTTTCAAAGACTGCAATCAGAAATATGGGAACAAGAATGAAGAGGGGGGCGAAATGAGACAGAAAGGGGAAAGAAAAATTATAAGGGAGTACTGATATTACTGAGTAAACCCTGGGGCTTTTTGCATCCTTTTTTGGAAACACTTTGAACATAATGCATAAATGTACACTATTTCATGTTTTCGTTGTTGTTAAAATTTTCATTTGAATATTTGTTTGTTAAACTGTTTTTGCTTATAAAAATAGCTTAGTCTCTTTAGGCTTCTAACTTTATCTCTGGTTGTAGTCTGAATCTCCACTAACTTTATTACCATTGGGAAAACTGGTATGTCAGCTGACTGTAGCTACTGGTTAAATCTAGTATGTGATTATTATGATTGCATCTGAGTTTTCTTGTAGCATTTCATGAGAAATGCAATTTTCAGTAGAAGCTTAAACTCAATAAATCTATTATTAGAAATTACTATGCTTAAACTTCAAACTTTAAAGCTCATAAAAAAGAAACTGTTTTTTTCTATTTAAAATTTTGGGGTATCAACAGATTTTAAATACTGATTTTCACCAAAACTTTCTTATTTTCTTCTGCTCCTAATCGTCTTTATTATTCACCTGTGTATAATTGAATCTCTAGGTTTCTTTCTGCTAGTGTGTTCTAATATATCATTATATGGCATAGAATTTAAATCAGTGTATCTGTCAAGGGGTTATTTTTCTTTGATTGGCTATTTAGCTTTTTGTATTTTTGCATTTCTCCGTCAGAATTTTAAAAATATCTTTATTCTAGCTTAGTTTTTCTTAGGTAAGTGTGGTTCACATCACCTGTGAGTTTAGAGGGACACTGCTGATGGGAAGCTCATGATGGTTTTTCAAATCTCGATAACTTTTTTCCTTATTTTACTGATTGCAAATATAACCAGCTTTCTACAAGAACATAGTTAGTAGTGTGCTTTTTGCCTCTTTCATCCATCTTTGATTTTGGGTATTTTTTAGTTAAGTGTTCACTGCTCGTGGAAGTTGTAGTCAGTAGTGAAAACTGATGTGACAGACTGTACAGGAAAGCAACTTTATTGCATGGAAAAAAAGGAAGCAGGAAAAGATCTATCTTTCAGTTGATAATGTTCTAGTATGAAGTATCTCGTTATTGTTGTGTAGTTGAGAGTTATCTTTCAAACTGCTTCTAAGCAGGTGCCACCTGTAACCTATTTGATATTGTTTCTGCCCTCACCTGAGCATCTCTTCTCTGTAGTGCTGTTGTGATATCTTTATGAATCCATAACTTTATGTTGAAAGTAATGTGTTAATTTTAATGAAATAGGTATACTAGATATTTTAGATCTTAACTTTGGCTCCAGCACCTCAGGATGACTAAGTGGTCTTATGATCAGGCTTTTCAATACTGAAATTATGGAGTGTTTAATTGAAATTAGTCCCTTTTAACTGATAAATGAAGTTGCATGCTTTTTAAAAAATTATTTCTTTCAGCTGAAAAATTGAGGTTTCACAAGATAATATCTAACTAGATATGGAACTGCTTCTGTCTTGTTCTGAATTTAAAATTACTGCATATCTTGGAGACAAAGCCACTTGGAAACAGACACTTGGAGAGTGTGCTGATAAATTGGATGCTGGTTCATGCTCTATGACAGCATAGCTTTTTAATATAATAATAGGTTTTCAGGAGCAGTCTGCCAGAGGTCATGCTTCCTGAATGGCAAAAGACTTGCACTCACGGGACGTGGTGGGTGGGTGGTGTGTTTGCACCTCTTGTTGTCCAGTTTGGGCTGTCAGCAGCAGATGGAGGGCACAGTGACTGAGGGGAAGGGCTGTCCAGCTCTTTCTGTCTGTACTGTTTTTAGGACACAGCATTGCAGGGGACCATGACACACGACACAATGACTGGACTGACTGTCTGTACCAGCTGGATCTTGTTTGGCACAATATGGTGGATCTTAGCAAAAAGGCTTAACAATGGCAATTATGTTTTATCTCTTCTTCCCCGTTTTTTGTTTTAACTCCAGAACCTTCATGTACTTAGCTGAGCAATTTCAATACTGAGCTCCACTGCACTCTTTCCTATCTGAACTGAAGATACTGTGACATTGAAAATTCTTTTCAAATCATCAATTTAGGATTATTTTTAGTGCTAAACCAACTATTCTTGCAATTTAACCACAATAACTTTTGTCAGATAATCTTAAGGGAACAATATGATATGATAACCTTCTTATCAGGCCAGTTTTATAGCTTAGAAGACACTATTTCCTCAAGCTGAAATATTTAGGTTGCCTAGGGGATTAATTATAGGAGGATACACTATAATTAATTATTTCTTCAAAGCTCTGTCAAAGCAGTTTAGTGATATCCACCTTATAAAAGAAAGTTTCCTTTTTTCAAATAGAGGATAGAAAATAATCTGGAATATTATCCTTACCTTGTTATCCATGAGCAGGTTTTGGCATAAAGTTGTATTTAATAAAGTTTTGGCATAAGTTGTGTTTATCCCATTAGGTCCAAATGTGTGGTATTTTTTGAGAAAGAAAATCCCAATTCGCCTCTATAATTTTTCAAGTTGATAATCTTTCCAAAAATTCATTTGACAAGGTATTCACTGCTATCTCAACACAGCACTATAATGTAGAAATTAAAGCTATATTGCTAACTTTAATGTGTGACAGAGAATAATGGACAAAAGTCAAAATTCTTGACAGAGCAGTGTGTATGTTACTATATTCGATTGAATGACTACAGCAAAAATTATTTGTCTGAGAAGGAAACTTTGTTGGTAACATGCCATAACTGTGTCTTTGTGAGCTTAGAAAGTGACTGGAGCAGGGTAATACTCTTTATTTGGCAACTTTTGCTTTAGTGGTGAATTTTTATTTCCTTTTTCTTCCCGTTAGACCTATGTTGCCCATTTTGGTACAATTTTTCTAAACTTGTAGTTATAAGGCGAGGGCCCTCCAACAGCATTTGACATTTTAATAATAAACATTTTAAATGCCTTTTATGCTTGCATGATTTCAGAGGCATATATACTCCTAGTTAGACTCCAAAACAGCTGGTAAAAAAAAGGACAGTTGAAACAAAGGTATTTTGAATTCTCAGTGAAGAAAAACAAGTTTAAAGAAAACGGGAAAGAATACTGTAGCATTTAAGATGTGTTCATAAATATCTGTGGCAATTCATGCATTGTTAATATACACACCTGTTCCCCAGGGAAGAAAAGAGATTTTGAAAAAGCAAGCAAACAAACAAATGCTAACCAAACCAACAGTTTTAAGTTCTATTGGATGAAATAGTGATCACAATGTGCACAAACTTTTGTTTTTGTTTAAGTGTCTTTTGGGGAGGGGAACAGGATGAATAGTCATTCAGTCAAGCCTTAATATCACTGCTTCTATTAAGAAACTATGCTTAATTAAGCCCTTCTATTAAGCAGACAGTAGTGCAAGCAGGTGAAAAATCAGAAAACACTTTAGAGGTGATATGTGAAGAGGCTGCACTTTAGTATCCAATACCCTGGCTGCTTAGGTTGAATAGAGCCTAATAGTTTTCTAAAATTAAGGTATTAATCTCAGTGTTCAGCTGCCTGATCAATTTACTAGATTTCAGGTGACCTGTAACTGCCGGGAACATGTTCTGTTTGTAGGAAACTCAAGGTTATTTTGACTAAATTGCTTGGATATTTAAAAAGCATTCTCCTTGGTTTTCATGATGGAAGAGCTGTTGCAGTGCAATGAAATGCTTGGCTGACTCAGGATAACTCAGACATCTGAATCTTGAAACATCACTAAAGAAGTATTGAAATAAGTATTTCAGTAAAAATCATTCTGATAAAAATGGTGTTCATTCAAAATGAACAAAAAAGCATGATACATTCATTCTGTTTTTTTAGGTGGAACTTAGCTGTGCAACTATCTTTATGACCAAGCCAGCAAACTCTCCACTGACAATGTCTAATGGGACAGGAAGTGGTATGGAAGAGTTTCACAGCACCTTAATCTCTTTATTCTCACTCTTTGTGTAAGGTCATAACAGTTTTTCAGAGGTCTCCAAATTTTCTGTGTGAGTTTTCTACTTTTTGTGTTAAAAAAACATTAAAAAATATACTACATACAGGCTTATCTCAGAGCTGACTCCAGGCACTGGTGGTTGACATATCTTTAAAATTTTATTTGTGAAGTCTAAAAACAAAACAACAAATAAGCTAAGAAGTGAATACCTGGTTTTGTTTAAGGGCTTTAAAATAGAATGGTCGTATATTTTTTGAGGTACAATAAATTTTCATTATCAAGAAGGAAAAAGTAGTTTTGATTAGCAATTAATTGTACTTCAAAACTTTCTGTGGAATTAATTTTTTTTAAATTCAGTTTTTAAATTCTATGCTTCTGTGTTCAAGTTATTCTGAAAGATCTTAAGTTTCAAATGTTTAAAGATTAATTTTTTTGGTGTAAAAAAATCTTATACGTCAAATTTTTTTTCAGTTTTTGGTCTGTCTTACCATGGATGAACCAATGACGAGCTATTCTAAATGTTTTTGTTTACTTCTTGTCTTTGAAATTGCCATTGAAAAATTAAACCAGTATATAGGTTCAGTGTTTAAGTAGGATTCATAGAATCTTTGCCGTTTTTCTAAACTGCACAAATTTAGTCCTTTCATTTCAGCATCTTTTGTTGGGGTTTGAAGTCCCAGTACAATCAGACAGTGAAGGTGTTTGATACTTCAGTTGATATAAAAATTACAACATTAAAATAAAACATGGCGATTGGGTCCTACAATAAATTTCTGGTTTCCTCTGAAAACACTGTAGTGGAAGTATTGTGAAATGCAGAAGGAATAGGTGAACTAAACATACTCTAGGGGAGGGAAGAACCCTGAGTTTGTTTTCAAAACACAGAAAGTAATTGTTATGAAGGAATATGGTAGTGAATGATGGAATACAGCTGAAAGATCTGCATCTTATGCATGTAGTTGTTGATGCAATTTTGGAAGTAGAATATACATATTTTCCATGTATTAGTGCATTTGTGTATTATTTATTTTTTTCCAGGCACTGGCCCCTTCAGCCTTTTTACTGGAGTTTTCTTGAGGCAATACTGTAGTTAGTCCAAGGCTCTCAAGGCACAGACTGAAGTGATATGGAATACTTAAAAGTGTTTCTGCTCTTCTGAACCAGATTTTTTTTCCCTTCTAAATGCAGATTTATAAAGCCTGCACTACAAGAGGAACAAGGAAAGGATTTTAGTGAAGGTACTTCCCGATCCTGAAAAAGTCAGGGGGCTTCAAGCCCATCTTGGACCTCAGAACATCTCACAACTTTGTGGTAAAAGAAAAATTTAAAATAGCGCCTTTGGACTTAATCCTTTTATCCTTAATTGGAGAGTAGTTATGTGCTGCAGATTAGGATATGTGTGCCACTATAATCCATCTAAATCATAGGAAGTATGTGTATCTGGCATATGTAGTAGGTGCATAACATTTAAAAGTCTTGTCTTAGGTTGATGTTGACTTCTTCGTGTTCTCAAAATATACAGTTCTTGCTGTGCTGTTGTCTGTGTTTTTTGTGAATATTGTTTTCTTGAGGGTGTTCCATGGTTTGTTCTTGAGAAAGCCACAAAAAAGGTCCTGTTTCCTGTGAGAGTGGAGGGATGGATTATGTTCCTATTGTCTGCCTAATTCTGCGCCTTTTGCATGAGCAATGGATATTATAAAGATTTCTCTGTAGAGTTATAAAGGAGAGAATTCATAGGAATGCATGTGTGTGAGTTGTCTCACCTTTGTTAGTGAGTCTGAAGTTCAGGTTTGGGGTTGTCATTAAGACGGGTAATCCTGCAGTGATTCTGAAATGTCAATCTAAGATTATGGAACTTTTTTTATAAGCACAGAATCACTGTTTTTGTTTATTTGTATGTTAACCAGAACTGTCAGACTTTACTGCTCTTAGAAATAATATGTAATTTTAGCATAGCTCTATTTCTAAACTACACATTTCTTTTCAAATGCTGTTATAATTATGGCATTATATTGCATTAGTTGCAACTCTATTGAAGTAGGTTCTTGTGAATTTACTTATTTATTGAGAGTATCTCTTTATTTCTTGATGTGACCAGTTTGATAGTATGATGAAAAGCTGATCCCTGGATAACAGATTCTGTTTTCACCTTTTACACCTAACGAAAGCAACACAAAATTATGTTGTGTGCTGGTAATTTGAGGTTAAGATTACCATCCTACTAACGCTTATGCAGGGTATTATTCATAAACTGCAAAAGATGTCTTATTTAAGAGGAGGGAAAATCCTCCTATTTCTTCATATATGGTAATAATTTTATTATCTATATTCAAGATTAATATTCTACTATAGAATGAACAGTTTAATTGGATCATAATTTGCTGCTTTGATGTAAATAGTTTTTGGTTTTTCTTGTTTACGTGTATGACAGTATTGATGAATTTATAAGAAACTTCTCTGGATGTGATATAGAGGAACGTATTAACATAATTTATTTATATATTTTTAGGTAAACTGATAAATCTCCTTAGATTTTATATAGTCAATTAAAATCTAGTCAATTTAATCTAGTCAATAACCTTGGGGGAACGTACTGGAATCTTCTTTTGGGGAAGAACCTGTTTTTCTCTGACTTAATGTAAAACTGTTTATTTAACTTGATTTTTAATAAACTACCCATATTCCTACCACCCCAGATTTTCTGGTTACATCTGGCACTATATCTGAGAGCATAGATCCTAATCATAAACAAAAGACTTCTCAATTCAATCAAATGTCTAAGATTGTGTAGTTGTGAATGCAATTGGTTTCCGAATCTACTGTATCTAAGAGGAGATATGTTTAATCTCTAGAAATTATTAAAACTATTTTGATATAATTGTGCTGATGCAGTTTAAGCACAATTTCACTGTAGTTTCATATGTTGCTTTGACCTTAACTTTGTGTTACCTTCACTCAGTTAATAGACAGACTTGCTGATTGCCTAGCTGTTTTCTAAGTATTCATTGATTAATGTTCATTGGTAAATGTTTGATATCACATATTATTCAAATTATATCCATTGGTAATCTGAATAGAGTGGAATTCTTTTGTGCAAAGTGAGGCCAAAATACAAGTAAAGAATTCTTTGGGTAAGATACTAAACTCACAATTTATTTTCTTTTCTATCTGTCATGCTAACAGGGTGGAACGTAAATAGATTATAAAAGTTGATGTCATACTGGCAACAACCACTCTATATAGGATTAGTATTTAAAACTATCTTGGTAAACTGGAGACAGTATTTCATAACCCAAGAGGCAGGCAAGTGGAAATATTTTACATCACATGGAAAAATAAGGTGTGGGCTGACCAAATGAACATTAGTGAAGCAGAAGAAGACTAGATGTCACAGAAGATGCAATTGAGAGTTACTTGTATGATGTCAGAAGCAATTTTGCTCTTGGATGATTTAAGTGGAAATGTTGTTTGTAAAATGCAGCTGAAATAGTGTGCTATACTCAAGAGTGATGAAGGCTTCACCAAAAATATGGGGTGAGGTGTTGGAAGGGGTGGATAGGAAAACAAGAGCACTAAGTCAAAGAAAGCAACCAAAGAGATGTTGGAAGAGCATCATCTGTTTAGCTTGAAAAACTTATTATAAGGAAAATAAATCTATAAATGCATATAGGTATGTTGCAAACAGTCTTTATACATGCTGTGGAAAAGAGAAAGACATAATTGGAGGAAATGTCTAAAATAATCAAACATTAATTTTTATATTAGAAAAAGTGGTGCTTGAGCTGCAGAACAATATAATCAGATTTGGACTTTTTCAAGAATAGCGATTGCAGCGTTCTTCACAGTTTGCCCTACTGATTTCTTTTTTTGCTTAAGAGGTCAAGCTACAGCAAATTCCTAGTTCATGGGGGGCTTTTGTTAACGTCTAGATTTTCCCTTCTCTCTTCAATTTACTCCTAGGAGTCATAGTGAAATGGGGTATTTTGTAGAACCTAACATGACTAGTCTTCTGTTTGACCAGCTGGAATAAAAAAGTATGATCTTAAAGGCTGCCTGATGTTAATATAGGAATTGATAGCTCTAAGGAGAGAACATCCCTGCTTAGAGTTCTTGTGCACAAGCCCAGCAAAACGGAATATTCTGTTCAGGACTAAAAGGTTTTTTCCTCTGATGCATGTTATTTTGTCACTTGACAAACCTGCTGTAAAACCTGGAGTGCTTTTGCATCACTTTTGATGAAAGATTGACTGCTGGGTATTTTAACTGTTTTATGCATTGAATGTTTGCAGAGTGATGTCTGGGGGGGTTATGGAGATCTTTTTTTGGTGATTTTTTATTATTATTACTGTAGGTAGATGGGTTTCAGATGTGGTGAGGAGTATTGAGCAATGCAGTAACTTCTAGTACTAACTGTATAGATTGGTAGCAACAGATCAGTTCTCTGCAGGAATGTAAAGTGTCAAGAAATTTCCTCATACTGGAAAATCCTGCATTTTCCCTTTGCCTCTCTACACCCCTCCCTCTCGTCATCCCCCAGAAATTCTGTTTCTAAAAGAAATATCTTAAATCTCTAACATCAAATTTCTGCAAATTAGTTGGTATGATTTAACATTGGAAGTGTATTTTCTCTTCTGGAAAAAAACCCCACAAAAACTTCTGATGCATCTAACGGGTATTGTTCATTTTGTTCCCTTTTGAAATACGAACTATTCATATTGTTATGAATAATTATTTTTTGTATTATTGAATGAGTATCCATGCATATCCGTTCCAAAATACATTAAATAATTCCTCAGCGTCTTATGGCAAAATTAACTGACAAATTGGTTTTGACACTTTCTGTTTCCTTCTTTTTTTAGAAGTTTGCCACTATTGAAAGAAGGTTGTGGATCAGGTGTCAGTTTGAGGTACACAGAGGCATAGCGTTCAGTATTTACAATAACATATGATAGAAGAAGTTTAATTTGTGTGAAATCATGAGAATATTTTCCATTTGAGAAATAAATATTAATTTCACAGAGAGGGAAATAAGGATAGTTTAAAATACCTGCAGAGTCAAATTTTCTCTGAAATGAGCATGAATCAGACTCAAATACCTTCAGAAAGTGGAGGACATTGGTCACAAGATTTTAATGCGTGAGGGTTTGAATAACTTTGTCCAAAACTTTCTGTGTTGCCTCAATTTCTTACAAAATGAATTTTGAATAGAACTGAAAAGTGTCTTGAAACGCTGTGAAACACACAACTTCTGAAGCTCAATTTAGTAACTGATAGAAGAGCTGTAGGAAAAAAGCATTAATCTGCTGCCAAGGAGAGTGTCACAATCATGAGCCTGCACAGTTGGCTTTTGATGAGGTTTGTTCCTAAAGGAATATTAAGAACAGAACATGGATTGAGTTATTGGAAAATGTCTAATTTCTGTAGAGCCAGAAGAACACCATGAACAGATAATAACCTGAAGATTGTATATATGGCATTTATTTTCAGAAAAATTATTTTATAGGCTCTATAATTATATTTTATAGGTCATCTTTAGTAATTTATATCAGAAAAGCATGCAAAATAGATGAGGGGACCTGTACTTGAAATGTTATGCTATTCCTACTTTTGACTGAGGAGGTCTTGACCCTTATGTGAGGGATGCTTAGAGTTTTGAAAAGAGCTAAGTAATTTTTTTTTTAACCTACCAAATTGGGTAAGTATTCAGTAGACTTTTCTTTCTTAAGAAAAGAGAATTGTTATGCTTAGGTCTTATTCTATGTTTTTCCTCATGGCTCTCTACAGCAAGGAGAGGGCTTTTTAAATAATAGGGGAGTAAATTTTTGTGTTCAAGTTACTTACGGTTTTATTCTGTATTTAAAAAAAAAAAGGAAAATAAGTATCTAGATGTTTTCTTGGGCTTCAATTCAAGAATCATAGGAGTCTTTTCTTCAGGGGAGGTTGTTCATATTTGCATAATGAACAGATAAATGCCTGGTTTAATTAGATGGTCTTGGTTCTTTTCCTTCCACATACCTCCATCCTCAAAGACATGCACCTGTGTTATGGCAATTCATGGCAGCTTCTTAGGATTCTAGTTTTCTTGGACTTTTGGCAGGGGTTTTTGTTGAAATCCGAGAATACATCAGAAGTCTTGTAGTTTTGATTTTTTTAATGGTATTTTTGGAAGCTACCATGGCAAGCAGTTCTTTATGCAGTTTAAATATTAACCCCTAGTTTCTTTCTACCTCATATAAATCAGTGTTCAGTAATTAAACATTACTACCTACTGACTCTTCTCCTATCTTTCAAAGCAATTTTTTCTTGCAATTTAAAGATGTGAAACAGTTTTTATTCTATTACCCAGTGAGATGTTGTTTTTTTTTTTAAGAGAATTCCAGTTTTGTTTACAATTTCAAAGTCCTAGTTTGTCAAAGTCCATTAATAGTCAAGAACTCAGAATACATTTCTAGCTGAATTGGGTTTCTAACCCACCAGCCTTTCTGGTGACTTTTAACTTATGTAGTTACTCCAATTCCTTTTCTCTAAAGCATAAAGCATTTTAATCTATTTTCATTACTCCTCTTTTCATGTTTTCAGAACTTGCATGTGTTTGTTCTCTTCTGTTCTTCAGTGGAAAACCACTGATTAGTATGTAATTTGGCTTCATGGCTTGTATCTTTTCTCAGTTTTGGGTGTTCTTGTTGCATTTTTTTTTCACCACTTAGGTGGTTTTCACCTTTATAGGAGAAGAGTGAAAGAAACTAATCAGCTTTGAAGGTCTTGTTTGTGTAACTTTGCATAAAATTGTGCTTATAGGTTCAGAGAACTGACTCTGATAAAACTATTTATAATGGGAAATGCTCTAATCCATCTCAGAAGGTTTGCTGGAGAAATTTTAGTAAAATTGGTCAGTCTGAGCTAGATTTCCTCAAGGAATTGGTTCTCCAGATGTATTTGAGTAAAGTTACACTGCTGGACAATGAACATTGTTGTCTTGAAATGTGAATCCAAGTGCCTTGAAGAGGTGGTTTTTGGATAAGCCTTTATCACTGCTGATGGTCTGACGTTTACTAGTAAGTTGTGGTTTTTCATGTTAGTTGAATGCATCCCTTGTGAAGGAAGGATGAATTAACTTCAAATGGAAATGGAAATTATGGTAATTGTATTGCAGGTGTTATGCAGGTGCTATCAGTAAATTTGCGTAGCAATATATATGCCCATATATTTATGCACATTAGAGAAATAGAAAACCATGATCTTTTGGAATACTGAAGCTCTTCTGTTTAAGAAACAATATTATTTTAGGAGGCAGAGATTTAAGTTGTTAGAGGTCTAAATCATCTTTATTCATATTTTTGTCTGTAAATAAAGGTATAGCAGTTTACATGTATTCTTATTTTAATAATGAAAATATTTGAAATAAGAAGTGGAGGGGGAGGTGGGAGGGGAGGGGCATGTTGCTGAAAATGTTCCACAACAAGTTAAATCTTGTACCACAGGAAAGACTGGTCAAAATGTTATTTGATGCTTGTATATATACATTTAATAGAGTTTATTAATGTCATTAATGGTAGATTATCTAGGGAAAGTGGTCATGCTTGTATGACTAAAAGATACCTTTTGACTTTCAGAGAACGAAAAGAGTATGAGGTAAAAGAATTCAAGGTACATCTTTCCAAAAGTGTATGAAAAGGTGTCAGGATTTGCTTTTCTTAAATTGCAAATATTTGTGATGCAGCCAATTTAGGATTATAAACTCAAATCTGCATAACTTCTCATTTTTTGATGGGCTGAGAGCAGTTAACTCCTGCTCCCAGTGCAGAAGTGCAATACATGGTCTCTATGTGAGTGGTTTAGTCATGGTTTTTGTATCAATGCAGTTTATTTTAACATAGTTTTAGGATTCTTAGATTTCTTGAATAAATGAAATAAATTGCCATAATGATGCTTCTAAAGTAAAATATTTCAGATAAAATTTTTCATCATTGGTAAAATTCACTAATTTTACCACTAACTGTTTAAAAACCTTCACTCTTTAACTGAATGAAGCATGTAAACTTTGATAATTTTATTGATGTTGTTGTCAAAGACCAGTGACTTGAATAATGAAAATATTTGTTGCTTCTTCTGAAAGACAGCAATATTCATGTTTTTGTCTTAATATAAGGAATAAAAAACCTTTAAATATTATGAAGTTTCTCCTCTGTGTAATGCATCCACAGTGCATTAAGCAATTGTACTCAACTTTTTGCATTACATCTTTGCAATGATATAGCTTAAGTTAGGTGTATCTCTTTTTTTTTCCAAATAAAATGTATATAATTTTTATAGTGGGATATTATTAAGGGTTGGAGTTGAATGGTGCTTCAGAAGTAATGTGATTTAATTTGTGTATGCACAAGAATTATGTCTTTGCATAATTACTACAGTCCTCATGATATAATA